GCCCTCAAACTCTGTGAACACATAAGATGCTTGATGGACATTTATAAGTTGGATGGTTAACTTATGGTATGGATTTACAAATTCTTCATTATTTACAACACGACGTTTCTGGGCTATTTTTTCTCCCCTTCATCAGGTGAATGAGAGAGTGTGATTTACAAACATAATATATAGTGGGTACAGGAGTGAGTGAGTGTGTTAATATTTATCGTCACATCGGCAATATTTCAGCCATATGATGACGAAGCCATTTTATAATTATATTAAAGATGAATAAAGTTAGAAATTAAAAAAAACTGTTGACGAAGAACAGTAAAACTACTAGTGTATCACAGATATCCATTTAAAACTAGCAATTAAATCTAAAATATTGGAACTATAAATGACAATACAATATAAAACAGGCTCTAGATTGCTAACGACTGATGGTAGATCACCATACAAGGGACCATGGGGACTTACAGTACATTTGCTTCCTGCATGGACCCTAGTTGGATTTACACCATCCCTTCAGCTGTCAGCAAATTTAGACAATTTAGCCATAAGTTAAAATAACGTATTCTACGCTTAAAAATAATGTTATGTTTAAATTTACTTTGAATGTTTTGGGACTATACGTACCCCCACAGGACAATAATTTTACAATACTTCAACCCCCTGTGAAGATACAGCCACTAACAATCTCAACTGCTCAACTAAACTACCAATTTTAAAATATTTATCTATCTACAATTCATTTAACAAATCTAATTCTTTTAAAAATGCAATAACTAAATGAGGACTGATATTATTAAAAAGATCCTTCATCGTTCGTGATTTGAAATGGATATCCCTTGTGATGGAATATTCAATACAGTCAAGCAGGACATGCTTGACCGTGATTCTTTCATCACAAGGGGTCTTAGTTGGAGTTGGAGACGTAGCAGAAAGACCTCATCACGCCTCTTGCGACGACGAATTTTATGACCAGAGTTTAAGGATGGCGAACCCCGTACTGTCAACAAAGTTGCCTCCCTTACATCACTGCGCGGCCGGATAACGGTTGCTGTATATATGACAAGGTGGAATATTAGTATCTAATGATGATTTGTTAAAGAAAACCTCAGACTGAAAAATTATAATATTGCCATCTACGTACTAGCACGTTTAAATATTGATCACCCGTTAATTAATTAATTACTTAATTGAAAAATATAAGCTGAACTATTGTTCGTGTAGGTAATGATACTGTGGACAAGCTGGAAAGTAACGGTAAATATGACCGGTATGTTTACCAAAATTTGAAAAATATAAATTTGATAATTTTCTGTGTTAGGTAACGACATCGTAGACAAGTGAAAGTGACGTTATTTAAAAAACAATCTGTAAACATGTTTCTTGTGTTGAATCATTAGACCGCCACGTTCTCAATGTGAGGGGCGGTGGGGTAGTCTAGTGGTTAAAGCGTTCGCTCGTCATGCTGAAGACCCGGGTTCGGATACATATGTGTGAGACACATGATACAGTGTGTGAGACACATGGATACAATGTGTGAGACACATGGATACGATGCGTGAGACACATGGATACGATGTGTGACACATGATACAGTGTGAGACACATGGATACAATGTGTGTGACACATGATACAGTGTGTGAGACATGGATACGATGTGTGAGACATGGATACGATGTGTGAGACACATGGATACAATGTGTGTGACACATGATACAGTGTGAGACACATGATACAGTGTGAGACACATGGATACAATGTGTGAGACACATGATACAGTGTGAGACACATGGATACAATGTGTGAGACACATGGATACAATGTGTGATACACATGATACAGTGTGAGACACATGATACAGTGTGTGAGACACATGGATACAATGTGTGAGACACATGATACAGTGTGTGAGACACATGATACAGTGTGAGACACATGATACAGTGTGTGAGACATGGATACGATGTGTGAGACATGGATACAATGTGTGTGACACATGATACAGTGTGAGACACATGATACAGTGTGAGACACATGGATACAATGTGTGAGACACATGATACAGTGTGAGACACATGGATACAATGTGTGAGACACATGGATACAATGTGTGATACACATGATACAGTGTGAGACACATGATACAGTGTGTGAGACACATGGATACAATGTGTGAGACACATGATACAGTGTGTGAGACACATGATACAGTGTGAGACACATGATACAGTGTGTGAGACATGGATACGATGTGTGAGACACATGGATACAATGTGTGTGACACATGATACAGTGTGTGAGACACATGGATACAATGTGTGAGACACATGATACAGTGTGTGAGACACATGGATACAATGTGTGATCCCATGTCTGGTTGTAGTAGTCTCCCCGCAGTGATTAAACATGTGAAGTGTAACTCTGTGTGTTTGTGTGCGTGCGTGCTCGCGAGCGTGAGTGAGTTCACGGGAGTGTGTGACTGGTCGCAACTGGGGCTTCTGTTCAGTTTAGATTGGTTTAATGATTACCTACAAAATTATATATATATATATCTTCAGAAACTAAGCGGTAGTGTAATTTCTATGTAATGTGAAGATGAATTCCTTGGGTTTTTTCAATCTGGTGCAATGAACTTTTCTTTTGAAAATGATAAAATAATGAACGAATGTGTTTTAAAAATACTTTTAAACTGTGTACTCAAAATGTGTATGAATGCCGACTTGGTTTCGTCGCCATATGGCTGAAAAATGCCGATGCGATGTGAAATCTCGCTCATCTCAAATCAACACAACTCTGAGATTTATTCCATGGTGTGTGTTAAAGAGTTGCGTAGAGTTGACGTTTACGTCACATCGGCATTATTCTAGCCATATTAGGGGCGGTGGGGTAGCCTAATGGTTAAAGCGTTGGCTCGTCACGCCGAAGACCCGGGTTCGAATCCCCACATGGGTACAATGTGTGGAGCCCATTTCTGGTGTCCCCCGCCGTGATGTTGCTGGAATATTGCTAAAAGCGGCGTAAAACCAAACTCAGTCAGTCAGTCAGTCAGTATTCTAGCCATATATCTGCATTCACACACATTTTAAGTACTAAGTAGATATGAGTTTCTTGAAAAATATGTAGTCATTACATTACTATTTACAAACAGAATAGACCCGTGAAGATCCGGGGTAGAATAGGTCTTCGGCAACCCATTCTTGTCATAAAAGGCGACTGCTTGTCGTAAAAGGCGACTAACGGGATCGGGTGGTCAGGCTCGCTGACTTGGTTGACACATGTCATCGGTTCCCAATTGCGCAGATCGATGCTCATGCTGTTCATCACTGGATTGTCTGGTCCAGACTCGATTATTTACAGACCGCCGCCATATACCTGGAATATTGCTGAGTGCGGCGTAAAACTCAACTCACTCACTCACTACAAACAGAATATGTCATAGAACCAAATTAAAAACCAAGCAATCCGTCATTCACATTACATAGTTACAATTTTTCATGTATGAAAGAAGAAAAGGAGGCCGACGCACTTAAATCAAATCCGTCAGGCCAAGCTGTCTCATCAACACAGATAATTTATCTGTGAACTCGAGCAGTGCTTGAAACCGACACTGACCAGGCCCCTTGCCTTCCTGACGTCTCCAGGTATCTCCATGGTAAGCATCGCATATCACTACGCGTCACGTCGTCATCCACGTCTCCACACCATCACGTCATCATCCACGTCTCCACACCATCACGTCATCATCCACACCATCACGTCGTCAACCACGTCTCCACACCATCATGTCATCATCCACACCATCACGTCGTCATCCACGTCTCCACACCATCACGTCATCATCCACACCATCACGTCATCATCCACGTCTCCACACCATCATGTCATCATCCACGTCACACCATCCGTCACATCCACGTCTCCATCCATCATGTCATCATCCACACCATCACGTCGTCATCCACGTCTCCACACCATCACGTCGTCATCCACGTCTCCACACCATCACGTCATCATCCACACCATCACGTCTTCATCCACGTCACCACACCATCATCCACACCATCACGTCGTCATCCACGTCTCCACACCATCACGTCATCATCCACACCATCACGTCGTCATCAACGTCTCCACACCATCACGTCATCATCCACACCATCACGTCATCATCCACGTCTCCACACCATCGCGTCATCATCCACGTCTCCACACCATCACGTCATCATCCACACCATCACGTCGTCATCCACGTCTCCACACCATCACGTCATCATCCACGTCACCATCACGTCGTCATCCACACCATCACGTCATCATCCACACCATCACGTCATCATCCACACCATCACGTCGTCATCCACGTCTCCACACCATCACGTCATCATCCACACCATCACGTCATCATCCACACCATCACGTCGTCATCCACGTCTCCACACCATCACGTCATCATCCACACCATCACGTCATCATCCACACCATCACGTCTTAATCCACGTCACCACACCATCACGTCATCATCATCCTCATGTCATCGGATCTGAATTGTGTAGATTGATGCTCATGCTGTTGATCACAGGACTGTCTGGTCCAGACTCGATTATATACAGACCGCCGCCATATAGCTGGAATATGGCTGAGTGCGGGGTAAAACTAAAATCACTCACCCACTCCACGTCTCCAACCACGTCTCCGCCTTTTCAAGTGGCACAAGAGGAAGTGCGACAGAAAAGAATCTGTACACGCTACTAAATAAAATTCACTCTATCATAACAATGTTTTGAAAGGAAATTACCCTATCCATGTCCCTCCCGATATGGATTATGCTTCCCGGTAAATATTCACTGTATCTTTAGCCTTGGCGGTACTGCACAACTCCCTGGAAAAATAGCTCTCCCGGGATATTCGACACCTCTCCAGCTATTGGTTTAAGTTTGAATAAAACACGTCATTAGGAAATTATATATACCACGTGACAACGCTGCCATTCAGTTTGAGGCGAGCGTCGGGAGGGAGCGGTGTGTTCTGGACTAGGGAGCGAGTGTTTACATTGACGATGTAATGGCTGGTCCTACATATTGTAGTAGTCACACCAACAGCTATGACTGCTTTCACTCCTTGTTTTGTTCACGAGTATTCAACGGTTCACGGCTTCCAATGAATAGTCGCTCCGCCTCAAACCCGTGCCTGTAAGTACTAGACAAAGGAGGAGGCAGCCATGTTGTATATTCCCGTATCGCCGGGGTTAGCAGTGTGTATTTGCATGGTATAACACGCCTGTATTGTATCGTACACGCGTGTATTGTATCGTACGCGACTGAAATGTATTGTACACGACTGTAATGTACCGTATTGACTGGTCTACGAGGTGGGGAGGGAGTTATCTGTGTATATCACCAGGTAAGATGGCGGGGATCGTTTAGTAGCGCGGCTCGTGTGTTGAGTCGTCGTGACCTAAATGCGCCCGCCATGAAGCCAGTGAGCTGTCTGTGTACTGTGTTCTGTGGAGGCGCGTGTCGGCATTTGTCCCTGCGGCGGAGGACGTGGCTACTGTAGACAAGTGATGCTATGGAAAGACTTATGCAGGGTTGAATGACCTGGCAAACCATCCCAGATAGCATTCTGACGTTCGCCCAACGTTGGGCCAATGTCTGAATGCTATCTGGGATATGACTTGTTACCATAATGTGCTGATCTGGCACGATGTTACCTTAATGCGCTGACCTGGCACATCGTTACCATAATGTGCTGACGTGGCACATCGTTACCATAATGTGTTAACCTGGCTCATCGTCACTGTAATGTGCAGACCTGGCTTGGTGTCACACTAAAGTGCTGTGCTGGCACGTTGTCACCATGATGTGCTAAGCTGGCACATCATCACCATAATGTGCTGACCTGGCACATTGTCACCATGATGTGCTGGCATTGTTAACCATAATGCTGACGTGGCACATCGTTACCATAATGTGCTGGCACATCGTTACCATAATGTGCTGACCTGACACATCGTACCATAATGTGCTAACCTGGCTCATCGCTACCATAATGTGCTGACGTGGCACATTGTTACCATAATGTGGTGACGTGGCACATCGTTACCATAATGTGCTGACCTTGCACATCGTTACCATAATGTGCTCTCATAGCACATCGTTACCATAATGTGCTCTCATGGCACATCGTTACCATATGTGCACATCGTTACCATAATGTGCTGACCATCGTTACCATCATTATGGCACATCGTTACATATCGTGTTGACCTGCCTTATTGTTATCATAATCATTGCTAACGTGTTGACCTGGCATAATGTCTCGGGGCATTGTCACCATAATTTGCTAACTTGGGACATTGTCACCATGATGTGCTGACCTGGCACATTACCACAACGTGCTCACCTGGCTCATCGTTGCTATAATGTGCTATAATGTGCTAACTTGTTACACATTAATGCGCTGACCTGCCACGATGTCACCATAATGTGCTGACCTGGTATGTTCCCATAATTTGCTGACCTGACACATCGTTACCTGTTGTATATACCTCTGTTTGATCGAATATGTCAGCAAAAGAATTACTGTGAGGCTTTGTTTTAGGAACTGGAAAGCTCGCTGACATTCATCTGTCCAGGAAAACCTGGAATATTTCTTCGTTAACCAAACGATTGGTTCAGCAATTTTAGAAACATTTGGAATGAAGCGCCAGTAATAATTACACATCCCGATAAAACTTCTGACCTCTTTGACAGATGTTGGAGCTCCCATAGACTGTATGGCTTCAACTTTCTGTTCCTCTGGCTCGATCCCAAATCCTAGATAGTTCGTTTCAGATTGGACAAAACTACACTTAATAAGTTTAAGCTTCAGTGAATGCTGTTTCAGGCGATCAAAAACAGTTTGTATGTGAAACATATGATCCTGTAAGGTTTTTTGAGAAGATCAAGATGTCATCTAGATATGCTATTGCAAATGCTTCTGGATCCTATAGTACTATAATCATGAGTTCCATGAATATTGAGGGAGCATTACAGAGGCCGAAAGGCATAACAGAGATTTCAAACAGTCCATGGTGACATGCAAAAGCTGTCTTTTCCTTGTCTTGTTCATCCATCAAGATTTGCCAGTACTCCGATTTTAAATCAAGAGTGGACAAGTATTTGGAATTCCCCAGTTGTGTCAAGATATCATCAATGAGTGGGAGAGGTGTGGAGATGGGTCGGGTAATCTTGTTTAAGGACCAGAAGTCCACACAAAATCGTTTACTTCCGTCCTTCTTGTCCACCACTACAGTTGGAAAGCTCCACGGTGATCTAGACCGTTTAATAATCTTGGCCTCCAGCATGTCATTGATGGCTTTGTCAACCACTTTTCTTTTATCAAGCAGTGTCCGGTATGGCCTCAACTTGATAGTTGCATGGTCACCAGTGTCAATCTTCATCTGTACTGTATTCGTATGCCCTAAGTCCAAGTCACTTGCGGCAAAGAGGTATTTGTACCCAGCTACTACATTCTGTTTCTTCTCTTTATGCTCTTGTGGAGCCTTAACGTCTAACAATGCATCGTCCACAGGCTGGTTTGTTGAGTGTCATAATTTCTCTGCAAGTGTTACTAAGTTTTCCACTGGTACCTTATCTAATCTTCCTGACACACACCCCCTTGTTAACCTGAATGTTTTGTTTGTGGTGTTCACTATCATAATTGGGACATTCCTATCTTTGTTCATGCACGCTAATGAGTTAATTACTATGAGCCCTGGTTTGGTTCACAAGATAAATAGCCGGTATCTATTTCTGACACTTGGTAAAGTGTGTCATCGGGAAAATATGGCCCTTGTTTTACTTTTGGTCTGCACATACTTTTACTTTGTGGTTTTAAAATAGTGTCCCCAGCCAGACGCACAATGGATGCAATGTGCAGATCATCTTCCAATGGTACATAGGTTTTTCCTATCCTTAAACTTCCAAGGTCATAGTAAAGTCGGACGCCATGTTGTTTTAGCCGATCTCTTCCTTAAATCCTATTCCTATTCATGTTGCCTACCACATACAATTGGTGTGTTAATGTCACTCCTCTCATTTGAAAAGTGATGTCTACACAATCATCCACTTCTAAACCATTCCCATTGACAGATTGTAGTGAAACCATCTTTTTACTTAACTTATAGAGTCCTTGTAGTTTGTCAAAAACCCTTCTGTGAATAATAGATACTTCTGCTCCAGAATTAATCAAACATCTTTACTGTTGTTTCCCAGTACATGGACTTGGATTTCCTGCTACATTTATAGTATATACTGTTCTCTATTTCTTTCTCCTCCCCATCAGTTTCATCATGAGAAGGAGTTTTTAGTTTAAAGGTGTTCCATTTGGTGTTCTCCTATATGTTGCATAATTCATCCCATAATTTTTCTTTCTGTTTGAGCAATCCCTTTTAAAATGCCCCGGTTGGTTGCATGCCCAACACAATCACTGCTCGTGGTTTACCAATGGGTTCCGCCTCTTTATTGGTCACTGCATTGACATATTCCTATTGCCTGACCTACAGTCCCTCGCCTTGTGGCCTGATTGCTGACATTTACAGCATTTCGCTCTTGGGCGGTAATGGTCAACCTCCATGGGTTCTTCCCTACGTTGATCTTCAAGTCCTCTATTGACCCTTCCTAGTCTCTGGTTAAATCGGGTGCGTAAATTCTGTTCATGCTTTGCACATGCAACAGCTGTAGCCATGTTTGGAGGGTTTTCTCTCATTACTTTCATTTTAAGATAATCATAGGCTAACCCATCTGTGAAAAAACCTACTAATTGGCGTTCTATGGCAACACCATCTCCATCCCTACCTAGTCCTGTGTAAGCCTCCTCGGCTAACTTTAGCAGTCGTTCGTCAAACAACTGTACACTTTCACTGTGTTTCTGTGTCATGCTTCTCAACAGCATAAAGGCCTGTTGAGCGTCAGTCATTTCGGCAAATCGACGAAACAACTCATGCTTTAGCTCCGGCCATGTTGCCTGATCATGGTCTTCTAAATAGCGATGAATAAAATTGCTAACTGCCCATGAACTGGTATGCCACTAATTTGATTCCCTTTTGACCCGAGTTAGTCAACACGGTGTATTTTTCAATACTTTTCATCCATTCTTTAAACTTCGTAGGCTCCCCCTCAAATGGTTTTATAATTTGGGATATACCCTGTGCGCCTAACGTCGTGGACAGACTGGCTAATTGCCCTGTTATTTGCTCTGCAAGTCCGGTCAAAAAGTCACCTAAATCCTGGCTTGCCATAACGAAGTCGGAATAAGGAAGAAGTCAAAGCCACTTACCAAGCTGATCAGGATCCAGTCCACGTTGTTTCCGACTTGTCCTTGTTTGAGGGGGAATTGGGGTCACGGCACCAAAGAAGAACCCACATGTGCTCTATGTAGCACGATAACACAACGAAGGATAAAAAGTTTCAACACTGTTCTTTAATTACCATGGTATATAATGATAACAGTCAGTAAAATAACAATCAGAATGTGATGGAGACTGTGAGAGAGGCTAGGCACTTCCCAGGCGCTGACCAGGTGTGACCAGGCTTGTTCTTCGGACTTCTCTGCTCAGCTGATCTGCTAGCCTTGGCTGTTGGTGTTGTCCATTGGTCTGTGTTCAGCGCCCTTCTGTGCCTCGAGTTGCCTTCCTCCCTCTCTGTAGACTACAATGACGGTGCTGCGTATATAGAAACTTCGCCACAGGATCACGTGGCGACTAGTCAGCATTTCTCTTCACCGTTCAGGTACACGTCGTGACCAGTCAGCATTTCGCTGGACAGTTTACTAAATCATCACACAGTTAAATCGTTATCTGTCCAATTAGTCAGTCATTAGTGGTGGTCAGTACAATCATACCTTTATCTGGTCAATTTGCCCTTATCATCACCCACTGTTGACCAGCACTGACCAACTTTTATCTTCCGTGGAAAAGAAGCCTTTATTGTTTTTTTACTTTCCCAATCAGCCAAATAGTAATCATTTTCCTAAATAAATTCTATTAACTCCTGTACTTTTCTGAGTATCTGACTTGCCTCAGCCACGAGGAGTAAGATCTTCTGAAAGGATTAAAAAGAAAAGGAATTGGAATTAAAATAAAACAAACTTAAGATTACTGGTTAATTGTCGTGTCTATAAAATTGAATGAGTGAAATGAATGAATGAA